CGTCAGGCGAATAAACATATTGTCCCAGCGATCGAGTCTTCTTCTTCTTAATACGACTCTTTTCATTATTGATGTACGTTTAACGGGAAGTCCCAACAAGAGTTAAAAATAAACATAATTTCAGTGCTCGGCCAGTCACTGAGTCGTTTTGAATTCGCCAAGTCTCTGCAGTCGGTGTCCGCCAAAAGTTGCTTTCAAAGTTTACGTCCTCTGCTCCGTCATTAAGTTCAACGTTCTAGTTAGCGTACGCAAAGCCACATAAGTGTAGTGATCAACTACGGCACCTGGTTCAACTGGAGAGAAGTAACATGAGCATTTGGTCTGTGGTTCCAATGGGACTCACAACTAACAGTTCCGAGATTATATTCTCCCTGAGGTTCTGTGACTCAATTAAAGGCTTCTGACTGGCTACTTAATATGCACACTGAATGACTACTCAATAAATAAGTTTATTTCGCAAAATGAAGGTTTTAAACCTTATATGTGACGTACTCGATGATTGTAGATTTTTAGACTATGGATGGCAACAAAGCCTCCGTAAGCGGTCACGCAGGGATCGAAATAGACTTAAAAACTGTGATCCAATATTCTCGGGAAGAGGTAATGAAACAAACAGTAGTTTTATGGAAAGAAAAGTTTTCATTTTACTTTTAGAATCATAAAGATTTGATGAAAAGACTAAGCATCACCTTGGTGCTCAGGTAGAACACGTGCGAGCTGTGGGTAGAGATAGCAAAAGGCGAAAAGTAATAAGATGCCGAAGATACACCTTAAATTTTACATGCAATCTACAATATAAAAGCACAAGCAGTGTTTCTGTGGACGGCGATGGGTCCATATCCTATACGGAATGTGCACAATAGGAGAAAAGTGTACATTTACAACCACGGATATCACAACTATTCCGTGTACACATCAAAACAAAAAAGCATTACGGTGTGAATAAGCCATGAGACACTCCGATGGCAGTAAACATATCCATATGGATAACTGCATTCACGGCAAACTCATTAAACGATTAGTAAACACCGAAAGGAAACGGCTGAGCCGCGTCTGAGGGGTACACAGAGATGCGCACTTTATTTATGTTACAAATATTAGGAGTCCAATAGTCCATGGTATCGATACTCATACGGGTTCTAATTGAATTTTCTTAAAGTTGTTTCTGTTTTAAAGTCAAGGCTGGTTTCGATGATAATTACAAGATGACAACCGATAAAGCAAAAAGAAAGAGAAGACCTGATTAAGAGATGGCAAAGAAATCTTAGTTTAAGGCTCCGGCGGTGCAAAGTATACAAATACGTGCAAATAACAGTTTCAAAGCGCTCAGGATAAGGAAGACAATAGAGCAGCCCTCA